CTGGAGCTCCTGATCCTTTCCCACCACATCCTGGAGCTCCTGATCCTTTCCCACCAGATCCTGGAGCTCCTGATCCTTTCCCACCAGATCCTGGAGCTCCTGATCCTTTCCCACCACATCCTGGAGCTCCCTTTGGCTCTGTGATCCCTGCCCCACCTCCAGTCCCTGCTCCAGCCCCTGGTGTGCTGTCCTCCTGATGGCTCACAACTTCTAATCCTTGCCCTTGTCCTTGCAGGACCAAGGACATGGAATTTGAGCACTTCAGGTGATCAAAAAGACAGAATTAATTCCTCTGCAGAGATGCCATTCACTGAGTTACACTTCCCCATATAAAAAAGGGGCAATACTTTCATTAAAAAGTAGTAGATTGTATTTGTTTGCTGATAAAATTTTTCTAGAGACTTTTTCTTCCTCAGCAGAAAAAAAAGAAGCTGAAAAGATGACAAAAATTTGCCAAGATTTTGCAAAACTGGAATTTACAAGCAGCAGTATTTATACAAAAATAAGGTTATTTACTAACATAAAACAACCTACCAGGCTTAAAAGTGACAAAAATTTATGTAAGAAAAAAAAAAATCCATCAAGATTTATTAAATAAAAACATACTACCTGCCAATGGAAACATTAAAAAAGAAAAATAATTTTTAAAAAATCACAGATACAGAAATGCAAATTAATTGTATACCAAATTCTTCTGCAGGTGTTTGACAGCTGCTGGATGCTGATCAATGCCAAGCTCTGGCCTGTCCCTGCAGGGCTGTTCCTGCCCAGCTCTGTTCCTCCATCCCCTCTGTCCCGTCCCTGGAAATGTCCCTGTGCAGTCCCAGAGCTCAGGGCTCACCTGGGGCAGCACAGGGCTCAGGATCCCTCACGCCAACCTCGAGTTTTTAATCAGTCTGACCTGCCCAGCACCTGGACAGCTCCAGCACAGCCCAGCAGCACCAAACATGGCACACAAAAGGCAGAACCCAGTTGTTATTTAAAGCCTTGAAATATCCAACACTTTCCAGGCCAATTTATTATTCAATTGCTCAGAAATGGCAATTTAAGTCTGCTGCTGAATCCTCACTGCCCCCCTCTGTACACAGCCTGCCTAACTGTGCTGCTCAGCAGCTCTGTCACAGCCCTGGGAGCTCCAGCTCGGCCTCTCCAGGCACAGGAGTGATGAGAGTTTTCTGCAGAGATTCCTCAGCCGGGACCTCTCTGGACAGGCTGCCCGAGGAAACTCAGGATGTTCTTCCTGCATCCCAGAGTTACAGCAGGGAGGTTTTCTGTGGGAACCCAGCACATCCCTCTGGCTGGCTCCAGACCCTGGCAGGGGCTCAGAGACCCTGGCACAAAGTCAAAAACACCTGTGGCTTCCATTTTAGCCCGTGGAAAAAGCTGCCAACTCTGTATGAGGAAATACAAACCACAAGGGTGTGAGTAGTGTGGTAGTTGAATTAACACAGGGTGGAAAAGTAGAATTTTGGGGGTTTTTAGAATGGGGTTCAAAGGGACAAGATGGAGGGATTTGGGCATGTCCTGACCTTCCTCTCCTTCTCCTTGCCCTCCATGCCTTGCTGTTTTCTGTCGGTTTAAGGCAGAAACACATTGTCCAACATAAATGTTAGATATTGGCACATTATTGTAAACATACCACAGGTATGTTTTGATATAAAATGTAAACACTGCCCTACAGTGCAGACAGAATGCCATGGCCGAGCTGCTGGACAGAGCTCAGCAGGTCAGAGAAAGCATGTTATGGATAAGGGAAAATAAACAGCCTTGAGAAGCTGATCCTGCACATTCCAGACTCCTTCTTTGGCAGCAGAGGCTCGGCACAGACAGCTCCTCACTTTGCTCTGGCCACCGAGGGGTTAAGTAATTGTACAATACTCAGCTTCTACATCTGAGCAAAATACTCAGATTCTAAATAACTTCCACCTAGCAGAAGCCATGCCAGGTGAAACGAGCAGCATTTACACATTTACACAGCCTCGTTTTTGTAGAGTGCTTTGCAAATATTGACCCAGTGCCACGCCGAAGTTAAATTGTGCAGGATCCCAAAATAAGGAATGGGGAAAATGGGTCCTGCTTTGAGCCTTTACAAGTTAGAGTGTGGAAGGGCTTGGCAAGGAAAGGAACAGTGCAGGAGGCAAGGAGAAATTCAGAGATAATAAAAGTGGTCTGGTCCAGGGTGGTGAAGGACCCAACAGGTGATCACCAGAAAAGGAAAGAGACAAGGAACCTGGGCAGCCACGTGAGGACATCTTCAGAAGGAAGGTGGCTCTCAGGTAATCCCATCGTGACAACAGAGCAATTTCAAGCAATTTCAAGAGATACTACATGGTGTAGAGTCACCTTATGCGATAATACTGTGAAGAAGTAGGAAAAGAACAGCACTATCACCTTTTCCAATCAGAATCCCTGCAGAGACACAGAGTAAGGGATAGCAAGGTCCATAAAGACCTCCACAATCAAACTCAAATATAGCTGAAATCTTAATGTTATCATAAAGATAAATTCTGTCAAAAACGTTGCCTAAACTTAACAAGAAGGAAAGTAGCAGGCAAATACCTCCTGGAGGTGATTGCTGTGTTTCAGTGGCTTGGCACAAGTAAGAATGGAAATCTCCCACTTCAGCCTGTACAATCTCATCATAAACAGCTTTAGGAGATATTTCTCCTTGACACCCATAATATTGACATAATGCTATAAGAGACTTACAATAACATTCATTGTTTGGAAGAAAAGAATTTGGCTCTACTGTCCAATCAGCAAAGAAGCTGTAATTTAACACAAATGTGAGAGCTCTCATCAGGAGAGGATTTGGGCACTACCAGGGAGGCCTCATCTGCAATACTGGGAAAGGTTCCACCCAAGGAAAACAAATTCAATCTGCACTAGTAGAGTATGACTGAGGGAATTAAGACTTCTTTTGAAGAGGAGGCATTTGGTATGTACAACCTCACAAAGTGAAAGTTGAGAAGGATGTTATCTATTTTTCACTCTTCCTCACCATACAACTAACCTGCAACAAGGAAAAAGAGCATTTTTACTAAAGGCTGATGCTGGCACAAGAACAAATGTTATAAATTGGCCAAAAATGCACCCTAGATTAGAAATGACAGTATAACTATCATATAAGCAAGGAGAAAAAAGGGGATAGGGACAACAGATGCAAGAAACCACAGCTATTTAGGCTAATGAATATAAAATATTGGTTACATTCAGCTGGCTGTGTGAGCCTGGATTTGATGGCTGGTTTTCCTGTTTCCCCCAGTTCATCAGGCAGCCTTTTCCCAGTTCAGGTCCAGGGTGCCGTGGGTTAGACCAGCCCAGAGGTGCCAGATGTGCTCAAGGGAGCTGAGGAGCCACACGCCTGCCCTGCCAGGGTCTGACTTATCCACACTGTCAGGAGGATCCACGGTGAATTACTGACTCATGTGAATTAGGGAGTGAAAAACCAGGCTTGCCAGATGTGCTTTTTTCACATATTTTGACAATTATAGTTCAGCTTAATCATTTATGATAATACTTCATAATGTTCTAGCAAATGCTCTGGAGTATACTTTGCAAAAAATAATGAAGTCTTAAGTAACATGGCAACTCACTCAGCTTTTAAATCTTTGCTGAGAAGCAGGAGGAAGCAGCCAGTGTTTTGTGCAGATTATGGAGAGTTATTGTAATGAAATTAGGAACACTTCCATTATTGCTTCCCCATCAGGTTCTTAAGCATTTACTACTGTAAAAACACCGTGGTTCTACAGCAACAAGACACCCTCAAATGGGATCAAACCAGAGCAGAGCTGCAGAGCTCAGGAGCAATGCTACTAAAGAGAAACATGGGGTTGTACAATAGAAACCATGGGAAGGGACTAACAATTTCTGTGTCTGCATTCAGCTCTGTTCTCTTAATTCTCATGGCAAGTCAGCTGTCAAAGTCCTACACAACAACCTTCTAATCACAGCTTTGCTCAGCAAAAGCTGCAAGCTATCATAAAAGTGCTTCTTTTACTTAAAAAAAAAGCATCTTAAAAAATCATTCTAATTGAAATTTTCCATCTGACTCCTTTATCACAACTTCTGGCCAGGGTTGGAGAAGTACCAGAAAATCAATCATGTGATCTGGCAGAGCTCATTTAGAGCACACACAAAGGTTGATGTAAGCACCTAAAGATGTTGTGTCAGTGACACTGACACTGCCTCAGCTGTGAGAAATGGCAACAGCTGAACATTGCCTGTACTTAATTTCAAGGAAATTAAGGAAGCCAGTGGCATTCACAGAAACCCCCATTTCCCAACGTCCTTGTTTGGCTGATTGGCAGCAGTTGCCATTTTAACATAAGGTGAAAAATGGGAGCAACTTGCACAGATCTCTCATATGTTTCACATTCTGTGAGTGTTTAGGTGCAAGGAGTTATTGTTCCAAGGCTCGGGAAGAGGTAAGGGAGCATTCACTGCAGATGCAAGTCTGAGGCACTCTCCATTTCATAACATCAGAATCCCTCCAAATGTTGTGCCAATGGAGACAGTAAACTGACAAGAAATGTAGATCAATGTTCTTTAAACATTTCAGCTTTTCTGATAAGCAAACATTTCAGTCTGTGTAATATTGTCAAACTACAGCTGCAGAGAATTTTGAAGAGGCTCCTGTGTGCGCTTTAAATATTCCTATTTCTTTCTACCAGAAAATGTTCTCGAGAGAGCAGAATGCCAACACAATCCTGTTCTGAGTGCATCACTTCCCTGTGCTGAGCGTGGCAGAGCCCCAGAGAGCGCCTGGAACCCGGTGCCTCTGCCTGAACCAGGCACTCAGAGCTGCACCAGCGCTAACAGGGACATCATCTGCCCCTGGATTTGTGCACGAAAAACTTAAACGACACTGCAGAGAGAGAGAGAGGGGATTTGGCAAAGCAGGCTGAAGGCTACAGGCATTACGCTGCCATTAAATTAGCATTTAATCTTTCCTTCACAAGATGAAACGTTTTCCTGAGAAATGTGATCTTTGCGAGATACCAGACTCGGGGATCTGTCAAATAATCAAAAAGCTGATTTCCTACCACAGAAAAATCTCCCCATGAAATAAGGCTTTTCGAATGACACACAGAGAAATTACAGGAAGGTAGTGAATGCTTCTTGTATGATGGGAAGAAACACTCTAAAGAGTTCACACTAAAAACTAAAATATTAAAACTAAGAAGATTTTATATACATGTGAAGGAATTTATATTAAATTGAGACTCGGTCATTAAAATTGAGTCCAAACGTGCAAAGAGATACTCAATACTTGAGCCCTGATGGCCTCAGGAAACTCTGTCCCATAATGACAGAAGAAAAGTGATTTGGACAATTTGGTCCATGTTCTGCTCGTGCACAGCAAATTCAGAAGGCAGGAAACAACTTTGCAAGTGAGAGGTGTTTTTGTAGCATTCTTTCCACATCAACCAGTAAAGCTCTCAAACTGCTCACAGCTAGGAAAACAAAAAAAATTCTGTAAAAATAAATGGTGATTCCATATCCAGAATTTTTCTTTGTAGCTTTCTCCTTTTTTTTTACTTTTGTTACCAAATCCAGGAATGATGAACAAAAGGTTTGTCTTAGGCAGTTCCTGGATGTGGCAGCAATGACTACTGGCCTTCCAACAGACACCATTTTACAGCTCTGTTTGGTGAGAAAAACGAAATCTGTACTTGTGAGACACCAGGCAGGGGTGTTCTCCAGATGGCAGAAACTTCCTCTGCTTAGGAGACAAAATACAAGAAAACAAATAAGAAGAACTTTGTTAAACTTCCAAAAAGCAGAAATTAGTAACATGGCTTGCTAATCACTTTGCAATGCCTATCAAGATCTTGGCTGTGGTTTTGCCAAAGAGAAAGCTTCACCCAGCTGACTCATCCTCACTCTTCACAATAGCCAAGATTCGTTAGCTAAAGGCAGGAATAAGAGTAAGAACTAGAAAAGTGAATTTTTCGTGTCATATTTCAAAGAGATTGAGCTCTGCAGGTTTTACAAACACTTCAAGGGAATTTGAGTTACAGTGTTTGAGCTCATTACAAGAGCTCAAAATCGAAGAAGATCAGAAATGCCAAGAAAAAACAAAAGATATGTCTAGCATCTTCCAGAAAATCAACTCATCTCTATGATTTTACATCAACACATAAAATGGTAGTAACAAAAGAGTCAAACACCTTTGCATCAAGTTGGTTCTAAAAAGTGACATTAAAACATTGTGTGTTTGTGAAAGTAGAGCCTCCACATCAACACAAAGCTGAGCTAGGCAGCCTTCATGGGGCAAATAGAATTTTAGAGAGCTTAAAGAGAATCTGTTGTCTTTGCCTTTCAGGGGCTTTGTGATGTCACTCTTCCAGTACCATTTTTTTGTGATGTCACTGTGCCAGAGCCATTTTTGTGATGTGACTATTCCAGTGCCATTTTTGTGGAGTCACTATTCCAGTGCCATTTTTGCGATGTGACTATTCCAGTGACATTTTTTGTGAAGTCCCTGTGCCAGTGCCACACCCCTGCTCACTGTGTCATTTTTTTTGGGTCACTGCCTGGCTGCTTTGCTCTCCCTCTCTGGGAGGGAATGTGCCGTAGAGATTTGTGTACCAAAGGGTAATTTCTTAAGTGGACACTGGATGGAGTTTGGATGGATTGACCAATGAGGTCAGAGATGTATTGGATGCGCTGTGAAGGTTACTGAGTTTTTAATGAGTACAGTATAATACAGTATAGGATATAATAAATATATGATATCATAATGATCATATAGATAATTATCATATATAATACATGATATAATAACTATCAGCCTTCTGCAGTCATGGGGTCAATGCTAATTATTACCCATCTGGGGGCCTGCAGCAATGCTGGCCCTGCATTTCACTTTGTTCCTGACTGAAAACCAGGCTTGCCAGATGTGCTTTTTTCACATATTTTGACAATTATAGTTCAGCTTGATCATTATAATAATACTTGATAATGTTCTAGGCAATGCTTTGGAGTATACCTTGCAAAGTATACTGTGACCCTGACTGTACCCCCTGACTGCTGGTTCCTCTCAGCCTTCAGCTGCCCTGGCAGGGGGAGGCTGCTCCTGGAACTCCCAGTTTCAACTGGAAATTGAGGAATGGATCCCAGTGAGGGAGGCACAGCTCAGCACGTTCACCCTGTTTAACATCACCCATCTCTGAACAGCGATGGTTCAGAGGTACAGTGAGCACAGCCACGAGACCGAACCAACGCCAAATGTTAAAGAAAAGGAGCATTTCCTCAGCTCCCTGCCTCACTCTGTGCACCCCTGACACCTGACAGAGCTCCAGGTGTGACTTTATACCCTGGCACAGCCACAGGTTGCCATGGGAAGCAGGGGAGGAAGGCAGCTGGCACACCAAGGTAAAAAGTGATACAGGCTTATCCAATAGTTCAACACGAGGAAAAACCTCTGAGGTCTTATCTTGTATTGATTCAGCTCTTCACACAACTGTTAAAGCAAAAATCTCTCTTCCTCTCCGGACAAAAAATAAAATAAATAAAAATCAAGCAATCTTACAGCATAGAGATGTTTTGTTCCAGACAGTATTTACTTCTCTACAGGATTAAGCAGGCATCTATTCTCAAGGAGCACAGGGGATAACCTGGATTAAGTTTGTTGCTTCTCCTAGTGAAAAATAACTTGTTTGCCAAATATTTTTGAAGTAACTGTGACATCCAGAAAGTCTACTTGAATTGGGGAAGCAGAGAAAAGTGGTAGTAAAGAAAAAAGCTTGGGAAGCAAACATGCCATCAAGAAAAATAACGTACTGAATAGCTGTATGGCAAATCCTTATTGGTATATATCTGTCTGACTTCCTCTGGAAAAATACACCAGGGGCCCATAGCTGGGGAGAAGGGAAAACAACATCCAGCAGAACAATAAGAGATCCTGAAGGAAGCATATATAATAAAAAGAGCTATAAACACTTAGCAAGATAGCAACAATTGTTTCCTCGAAACTTAGCACTTCATTTGGTACAAAAATAAAATTCTTCTGATTTGTTGCTCTCATTCAGACTATCCTTCTATTGCAATCCTTACATCCATCCGAGGATGTTCTCTTGTAGTTTGGAATGTTTGACACCCACAGAGCCCCACGGCTCCTCGCTGGGAGCAGAAGCTTTTAGCCCAGGTGTGAGGGAGAACAAAGCCAGGGCTGTGCTCTGACCCCAGGGGTGACCACAGAGAGGAGGAACAAACCTTCCACACACCTGAACAAGCAGAACAGGTTTTGTTCATGCAAGCAAACCCCCTGGCACGATGGAAGGAAGAAATCCAAGGCTGCAGACACCCTGGAGATGCTGGGAGCAGGGAGGGACCCAGGGCTCTGCAGGGACACCCAGGACTTGGTGAGAGCCACCACCCATTGCTGGTTCAGCTCATGTCCTCTCTGAGCACCTGCTGCTAAAGGTCAGCTGCAGAGGTGTGCAGAGAGCTGCTTGCTGTGACAGACACATCCAGGAGCCTAGCTCAATGAGAAGACTGCTGTTTTACAAGAATATTCTAGCAAGGCACAGGTAGGTAGAGAGATCTTTGAGATCCACGTAGCATGAAGTGGTCACAGATGTCTCACATGGTCGAGGAGGGCAGTTCACATCACAAATGCCTGCAAATTTCTAGCAACAAGTCCACTGCAGTGAATTCACAGGAGGAACAAATATTTAAACGCTGAGAAACAGTATCTTGTTATTCCCGTTTGATGCAAAGATGAAAATGACAACTATTAAACCTACACATTTGTTCTCCTCTTGTTCTAAGGGTCTGAAAGGGGATAACTTTTGTGAAACTGTGACAGCACTTAGGAAATGGAAAGTACATGCTGATAACAGCAACTGACCCCCTCCCCCAGTGACAGATGGACAAATCTGCCAGCAGAGATGTTTTGTTCTTCCTGTGCAAAGTCAAACCAGACCCAGCCACAGACGTGGCAGCAACAGCGTGAGCAGCACTCCCACTTCACTGCTGAGCATCCTTGAGAAACTATTAATTAGTTACAAAGTTTAAATAGGCATCTTCCACTGGTCTCTTCATGAAACCACGTTATTCATCTCAATTAAGTGGAACCCCACAGAATGGCTGTGGGGAGTTCAGAATAACACCAACTTTTTCAGAAGCCTCTTTTCTTATTTTACTGCTTTCACTTCTTTTGTTAATTGCCTAATTCCACCTTTTTCTGACTGCACTCCCCTTGGGAGGTAAAGACCACTTAGCTATTTATTCACACAAGCAATGGGGCTTTGAAAGAAAAAAACCGTGCTCACATTTTCAGACATCTGACAAATGAGACTAATTCATTCGTAATTAAAAAGTATAACATTTTAAACGCTCATCTTATTGGCACACAGGCAGGGGGAGGGAGGAAAACAGAACAACTTTGCAGAATGGGGCTGGCAGATGTGGACGTGTTTGCTCAGGTGAGAAAGGTGAAATTCTCACAGGTTTCCTCCTCCCCACCTCCCTGTCCTGCCACCTTCATCTGCAATGCCTGGGCCTCCCAAATCTCCCCTGGGATCTGCATCCCGTGGCTGCTGACAGGCAGAAGGATTTTCAGGCTGCAGCCCTTCCCATCCCTGAAAATCAGAGTGGCTGGGGGTCCATCACCTGGACATCCCCCTTGTGCCCCTAAGGAACGGTGCAGGTGCAGGGAATGTGTTGGGAGCAGGTTTTGAACAGGAAAATCCCCTGCTCTATATGGAAATTGCATTCTAATTCTGATTGGAAAGAACTATCTCAAAACTACACCCAGACACGAATAAACCTCTGTTACAGGATACTCTGCCCTACTGACTTGCAGCAAAACCTTCTGTTCTTGCCCAGGAAATAATAGAAACACCTTGAAAGCCACACCTTCTGGAGTTGTTTTAGGATTTTTTGTTAAGTAATCACTTCTTTCACAGATGCAAAACAAAGGTAGGAAAGTTTTAACTCTACAAGTAACAGGTGTAAACATTTGAAACAAATTTCTGTAAAAAAGTTAACACATTGATCTTATTATTATTTGCAGTTGGTAGTTCTGTGTTTCACTGGATTTACATTAAAAATAGTTGGCTTCACCTTTCATCCTTCCTCTCATATCCAATATTTTTCCTATCTCAAGATGTACTGCAATATTTAATTTGGATTTTCTGTGCTAGATTTGTATTTCTACTAATATTATGCTTTCTAGTTTCTTTCCTAATGTATAATTTTTGCACATGCTGACTGAGACAATAATTAAAATATGCTGGTTCTTACAAGGAAGAAAGAGAATTTTCAGTCCTAACTGGAGGCAGAGGTGCTGTGTTAGGCTGTGCTCCAGAGAATTCCTTTGGACAGCACTGTTTAAAGTGGATCCAGGATAAAGGTTCTGCTCTACAGCAATCCCTGAGTACACCAGGCAGCTGTCCTTGCCCATCACCACCACCCTGATCTACCTGCCTGGAGATCTCCAGTGACCAACTCCCACTTCAGGAACGTCTTGCCAAGACCCAGGCGTCTGATTTAGCAAAATTTCTTTTGTCCCCAAGCTTCTCCCTGCAGTTTTAATGGCACCAATGCCATCTGCAGCCGCTGAGCTGCAGAAGGGATGCACAGGGAATGCTGAGCTGTGCATTTCCCCCTTCCAGAGGGATGCTCAGGCCTGGGCACACACCCACATGGCCACTTGGCCAGCCCAGGACACTCCCTGGCCTTTCCCCTCTCCCCCACGGGATCTGCTCTGCTCTCTCCAGCTCCTCTGGGACTCTGGAGACCACAAGGGCTTTGGGTTCTTTCACCCAGAGACCTTTTCCCTCACCCCAATATCACAGCTGGCAGGAGCAGTGCCCCAGACTGGGGCCAGGGTTGGACCCAGCCACGTCCAGGCTCATCCCCAAGGATTTTAGAAAGCCAGAGGGTCTTTTCTGCACTTGGAGCCTTTCAACAAACTTTGTCTGGACTCCCCCTCCACCCACGACACAAATAGAACACCCGTCGATTATGGTGTTAAGTTCATTGTTAGCCATGCAAGCCCAAACTCAACAAAATCCCCGTTTTTTAAATTATTAATTAGCAAACGACAGCATAAGTGGTTTTGTATTGAGTATAAACCTCTGAAATCAATGAAGCTATTTTACATGAAAGAAATGTATTATTTTAAACACCTTAATAGTATCAGGAGACTTGCACCAACATTAATCTCAGGCAGAGAACATACTCAAAAATACAGCTCTCATTGGGCACAAGGCTCATTAATACTTTGTAATAAATATGATGTGCTGAGAT